ATAGAGCTGAAGACTGAAGAAGATTCAGCTTTGCTATCACATTTAAATTATATTTCACAATATTATTGTTTTACTACATTTTTGATCAAGTAAATGCAACCTTGGTGAACACAAGAGACTTTCAAAAACATTAAAAACTCTTAAAGACTCTAAACGTTTGAATTGTAGTGTATTCACTTTAGGCTTAAAAACAAATAGAGACAGACCAATTGACAAATGTGACTGCCAACCGTGCCTGCTTGGCTGTTCAGTGGTTATCACTCTATTTTCAGATAATTTAAAGTAAATTGTGAGTCAGTACAAATAAATGTTTTTTTTGTTGTTGTTTTTTTTTATCTAATACAGCAATTCTGTATTATTTTATCATATTTGTCATTAGCCACCTGCTCTCATCAGCCATTGAAAAATCCATATCGTTCAACCCCTAGCTCAGCCTGGGTGTACAGTCATATCCAGTGTTCCTGGAAGACCTCTGAGTCAGAGAGAATACTCTCCTCTTCTGCGCAGGGAGCACAGGTCATCATGACACAGATCCAGGACACTGTATTTTAAGATGTCGGGGGCTCGAGGGAGGGGTCCTGCTGCAGTGCATTCAGGATCAGCTTTCAAACACTCCCTGCACAGTAATACACATTCATACATTCTTCAAGAAGAGCACAGCTGACACGGCCTTTATTAATATAGATTAGAGGTGACTGATTTCCCCTCAAGCTTAATTGAATTCATTTGCTCTTCTATAGCAATATTTTGTAGTTTCCTTGTGTTTAGCCAAGTTATTTTCTATAAAATATGTCTGGGAAATGTAAAATGTTGCTCAGGGAATTTTTAAGTTATAGAGAAGTGAACATTCTGTTTTCTTAAAGCTGCAGTCCGTAGATTTTTGGGTTAAAAATTATCCAAAATACTGGTCCTGGTGGATTTCCGCGGGAGATTGGAGCATGTCTTTGCGTCATTATGTCACATCTGTACACATAAAGAAGAGTCTCGGCTAGCCGAGACTCTTCTTCATGTGTACAGATGTGACGTAATGACTCAATATAGCCGACTAGCCGAGACTCTTCTTTATGTGTACAGATGTGACGTAATGACGCGAGTCACGCGATATAGCCGACTAGCCGATATCTGTACATCTGTACACATAAAGAAGAGTCTCGGCTAGTCGGCTATATTAGGTCATTACGTCACATCTGTACACATAAAGAAGAGTCTCGGCTAGTCGGCTATATTGAGTCATTACGTCACATCTGTACACATAAAGAAGAGTCTCGGCTAGTCGGCTATATTGAGTCATTACGTCACATCTGTACACATAAAGAAGAGTCTCGGCTAGTCGGCTATATTGAGTCATTACGTCACATCTGTACACATAAAGAAGAGTCTCGGCTAGTCGGCTATATTGAGTCATTACGTCACATCTGTACACATAAAGAAGAGTCTCGGCTAGTCGGCTATATTGAGTCATTACGTCACATCTGTACACATAAAGAAGAGTCTCGGCTAGTCGGCTATATTGAGTCATTACGTCACATGTGTACGCATAAAGAAGAGTCTCGGCTAGTCGGCTATATTGAGTCATTACGTCACATGTGTACGCATAAAGAAGAGTCTCGGCTAGTCGGCTATATTGAGTCATTACGTCACATCTGTACACATAAAGAAGAGTCTCGGCTAGTCGGCTATATTGAGTCATTACGTCACATGTGTACGCATAAAGAAGAGTCTCGGCTAGTCGGCTATATTGAGTCATTACGTCACATCTGTACGCATAAAGAAGAGTCTCGGCTAGTCGGCTATATTAGGTCATTACGTCACATGTGTACACATAAAGAAGAGTCTCGGCTAGTCGGCTATATTGAGTCATTACGTCACATCTGTACACATAAAGAAGAGTCTCAGCTAGTCGCTATATTGAGTCATTAAGTCACATCTGTACACATAAAAAAGAGTCTCGGCTAGTCGGCTATATTGAGTCATTACGTCACATCTGTACACATAAAGAAGAGTCTCGGCTAGTCGCTATATTGAGTCATTAAGTCACATCTGTACACATAAAGAAGAGTCTCGGCTAGTCGGCTATATTGAGTCATCACGTCACATCTGTACACATAAAGAAGAGTCTCGGCTAGTCGCTATATTGAGTCATTAAGTCACATCTGTACACATAAAAAAGAGTCTCGGCTAGTCGGCTATATTGAGTCATCACGTCACAACTGTACACATAAAGAAGAGTCTCGGCTAGTCGGCTATATTGAGTCATCACGTCACATCTGTACACATAAAGAAGATTCTCGGCTAGTCGACTATATTGAGTCATTAAGTCACATCTGTACACATAAAGAAGAGTCTCGGCTAGTCGGCTATATTGAGTCATTACATCACATCTGTACACATAAAGAAGAGTCTCGGCTAGTAAGCTATATTGCGTGTGAAGATGTTGGAGGTGGAGATTTATAGCCTTTTTTCACAGCACTTGATATAACTAAACTTATCAATTTGATGGTGGATCCAGAAAGGTTCAAACGACAATCACCAGTGACAACAGATTTATCCGCTGTAAAATGCAAAAGACTTCGTTCGGACTTCAGAGTGGCGACAGAAAAAATAGACCGCAACCGGACCCATGTGAAAACAAGGATATCGGAAGGACATTAATGTTACATGTAGTCATGCAATGCTTGCTGACGTTGTTAACACTGACAATTTGAGAATAAAGTATAATTTGCACGTTTTTTTAACTCATAAGCGATTATTAGATTTAATCAGCATGATTTACTGCAATGTCAGAACCAGAACAAAAGTGGATGTTTCTTACTAGTTCAGATTACATTTTCCGGTGAAAATTCTTCTGTTGGTCATAACGCGTAAAGTTGATAATTCTGCGAACGACTGCAATTGCACATTTTGAACAGAGATGGCGACAAAGAGGAAAAACGCCAGACTGCAGCTTTATTTATATGAGGGATATTATGACGTGTACATTCCCAGGAGAAAACTCAAGGCGTTTCAGGGAGTTGAGAAACAGTGTGTACTGATAAAGGGAATAACTCCCTTTGGGATGACTTTGTGTTTTGTAACTTTGCAGACCTTTTCCATGATCAAACAGCAACATTACACACTAAAGATATAGGACCACTTTAACATTATCGAAGAAAATGTGAGACCATTCACAGATGCATCATTCTGTAAATGTCATCCTTTCATCTTGAATGCCTTTGGCATTATGAAGTAGACTTCACAGGATGTGTTATTCTGTTGCCCATGTCAGGCTGACGGAGACCAATCTTTATGGGTCACAAATGGCATGGCATGTTTAATATGCTGGAGATGACAAGAGGGAGCAGAAGGAAAAGGAAATGACCTCTGAATAAATAGAACCGGATACAAGCACTGCCTCATACATGCTGGACAGGAAATAGAGCAATATAAAGTAAAGGAAATGTGCATAATTACGTCTGCTAGGAAATAGTTACGTCTTAAATAATGAAAACATTGTATGGAATAAAAGAAGATTTTGCTTTGAACTTCTGGTGGGTGTGTGGATGGCATGAAAGTTTAGTACATGATACACTCATGGCCACACATTGTTGCACGCCTCCTTGGTTAAGTTTCATTTTTTATGAACAGGTACTGTGTGTCATCATTCTTGATGGGGAAGAGGAAAATGGAACCGATTCTGAAAACACTATTTGTGTAGAATGTGTGGTGGCAGGGATCTGAGACCCTTTTTATGCACATATGCATCTACACTCAAAAGACTGCTTATAAAATTAAACGTGCATTAAAAAAATGGTGCAAAAATAGCCTGAAGAAATTTGGAACGGATACCTTTCATTTCTTTTTGCTTTGTCATGTAATGTTTCCTGTTTAGGACATTTTAGTGCTTTCACATCTTCTTGTCATGTTTGGAGTCGTTTTATGGATGTTTTAGGTTAGGATATTTCAACATTTTCCAAAATATGTTCTTTGGTGTTACATATAAGAAAGAAGATCATACTTGTTTGTAGAGCCCGACCGATTAAGGATTTTGAAGGCCGATACCGATACAAATATTTGTTGGTTTTAAAATCCGATGTTCCGATATATCGGTCGAAATTTTTTTTATTTATTTTTTTTTTATTTCAGGAACGTGCAACAAAACATAAACAGATTTCCCTAACATTAGTTATTTGTAGTTATTTATGAGTTTTAACTAAAATAATATGAAAATGCATTTTAAAAAGAAATTTCTTTCTTTTATTGTCACAACGGAACAGAGGAACATCAAAATATATTAAAGTTCTGATAAATTAAATAATGAGATACTTGCAACCTGGATCAGCAAGTTGCAGGATGTGTGGCGCGTTATACACGAGTGTTGCCAACAGGGATGTTGTAGAGTGCCCTCTGGTGGACAAACTATATAACTCCAACACTCATGACATGGTTAAAGCGTGTTTCGTCCGTTTTTATTTTATTTTTGAAATATTAATTTTGTCGGCCATTATAACTGCCGATACCTATAGTTTGGAAAATGCCTAATATCGGCCGATAATATCGGCCTTCCGATAAATCGGTCTGGCTCTATTGTTTGGAACCATATGAGGGTGAATATATGAAGAGTTCAGATGCAAAAGCCTCTAAGTGCCATTTGAAATTTTCTTCTAGAATGATAATTTTTATCAAGCTTGTATATTTAAGTTCAGGGATTTCACTTAAATGGCAATGATAATTACCTATTAATTGTTATTTAAGTGAAATTACTGAACTTAAATATACAAGTTTGATAAAAATCATCATTAAAGAAGAAAATTTCAAATGGCATTTAGAGGCTTTTGCATCTGAACTCTTCATATAATGAAGGAAATTTCACATTGCCTTTTTTATGGTTTTAGATTATTAGGAAGGATATGATATTTTTATTTTCTTGCCTTGGGCCCCACAAACCCATGGGCTGGCCTGCACACATGTAATGCAAAAGTTGTGTTGTGAAGTTGTGGCTGTTTTGTGTCGTTCTCTGGTAGGTGATGCAAAAGCTGGGTAAGGCGGATGAAACGAAAGACACGGCCTTTGAGGAGGGAGTGGCAAACTTTAACAAGCAGCTGGTAAGAGCCTTCAGCCTCTTTGACCCCCTTGCTTAATATACTGCTTCCATTGACATTTGACCTCTGACCCTTTTCGTAGTTCTTAAATATCTAGTGATGATTTCATCTCTCTCTGATCTCCATCCCCAGGCCGATGGCACCAAACTGCAGAAAGACTTGAAAGCGTATTTGTTGGCAGTCAAAAGTAAGACTCTCATTGTGTGTCTTTGTATGTATTTAATGAAAGTGAACAGGAATAGTTAGTTCACCCAAATAAATGATAATTTACTCATCCTCATGTTGTACCAAACAGGTTTGACTTTATTTCTTCTGTGGAACATAAGAGAAGATATTTTGAAGAATGTTGGCAACCAAAAATATTTTGGTGACCATTGACTTCCATTGTACAAAAACACCTTCTTTTATGTTCCACTGAAGAAAGAAATACATACAGGAGTTTGGGCACAGCATAAGGGTCAGTAAATGATGACAAATTTATAATTTTAGGTGAACTATGTCTAATCGTTGCTATCACAAAAATCTGGGTTTATTATTCGTTTGATTACACTATAATTTAGAGGAAGCTCAATGCTAATTTTAGAGAAAAACTCAATACAATCAAGTGCAAAAACATCTTTTCAGGTTGTCAAATGGCAAAATTAGAACTAAATTTGCAATCTCTCAATCATGTTTCTTTGTATTTAGATGCAGCCTTCTATCAGATAAAATACATGCGATTCTCTCAAAGCAAAACAGATCATTGTGACTGAACAGACTCAGTCCTGCATGTATAACTGTACTGGCCTCCATATGTAATAAAGATAAGGGCGTCACAAATTCTTTCTGGGTAATAAACATGTGGAACATATTTTCAGGTCTGGCCATATTTGTTTCTTCTCAAAAGGGGTAGTTCATCATTTACTCAACCACATGTTGTTTTTGTATGCTTTTTTTGTTCTTCCTTGTAATATTTACTTAATTTACTCATCTTAATGTGGTTCCAAATATGTATATGATTTTTTTTCTTTAGTGGAATGCAAAAGAAGATATTTTTAAAATGTCTGTGAGCTTTTTATTTATTTTTATTTTTTTTAGAAATGTAATAGATTCCAATCATCTTCAAAAATTATTATTATTATTATTTTTTTTTTTTTTGAGAAATGCATACATGATTGGAACAACATGAGGGTGAATAAATGATGATAGAATTAAACATTTTAGGTGAACTGTCCTGTCCCTTTAAATCTTGATTTTAAATATAGTTCCTTATTGTATGTCGCTGTCATACTTTTGCTTTAAGCACTGGTGAGTAGCAGTAGTAGTACGTTTAATAAATGTAAAGTTAGCAGACAGCCTTCCTCTTTGTACAGCAGACTGTAACGGCACTGTCCTAATGCGCATCACTGTTCCCTCAACTTCCTCCCATGTGACCACAAAAGGTCTCACTTCTCTGAAAGACTCTAAGGGAAAGAGACTGCATGTATGTTGGGTTGAGTGATTAAGCATTCACCCTCTGTGTGAATGTGCCAATATCCGTCTCTTTGCTGACCCACTGCTTGTTTCCGCAGCCATGCACGAGTGTTCAAAGCGTCTGCATGACTGTCTGGCAGAAATGTACGACCCCGAGTGGTTTGGCAAAGAGGAGGTGGACTCCATCGCAGAGGTGTGTAAGCATGTCACTGGCAGAACCTAACACTCTTTCTGGATTGTGTGACATTAGTGTTTTCGATGTGAAAAATCCCATAGGAGAGACAAAGCCACAAAGGGCATGTGTTTAATACTGTATGTCAGTGTCAGTTGTTTCTCTTTAAGGCTCCTGATTCGCACATGTGCCTCCTGAAATCAAATGTCTTTTGTAGAGTTTCAGAAGAATGTCATAAACCAGATACTGATTAAATGAAGCATAACTGTCTGTAACATAGTTTATACAGTCATTTTGGAGCCACATCTTACACTCTCAGAGAAAAAGGTAGAAAAGCTGTCACCTGGGCTGTACCTTTTCAAAAGTACCTAAAGGGTGCATATTGGTACCTAAAAAATGTACATAATAGCACCTAAAATGTATACATAATAGCACCTAAATGTCCATATTAGCACCTGAAATATACATAATAGCACCTAAAATGTCCATATTAGCACCTAAAATGTACATACTAGCATCTGAAATATACATAATAGCACCTAAAATGTCCATATTAGCTCCTAAAATGTCCATAATAGCACCTAAAATGTCCATATTAGCACCTAAAATGTACATATTAGCTCCTAAATGTCCATATTAGCACCTAAAAAGTACATAATAGTACCTAAAATGTAAATATTAGCACCTAAAATGTCCATAATAGCTCCTAAAATGTACATAATAGCACCTAAAATGTCCATATTAGCACCTAAAATGTACATATTAGCACCTAAAATGTACATAATAGCACCTAAAATGTCCATATTAGCACCTAAAAAGTACATAATAGTATCTAAACTGTACATATTAGCACCTAAATGTCCATATTAGCACCTAAAATATACATATTAGTACCTAAAATGGACAAAAGTTTTCCCTTTTGAAAAGGTACAGCTCTAGTGACGGCTTTTGTACCTTTTTTTCTGAGAGTGTAGGACTGGATGCAATTGAAGAATGTGTCCGCACTGGTGTTTCAAACTCTGTCGACTCATTTTTCTGCAATTTCTCTGTTTTCTGATTTCCACTCACCCGTCTCTCCACGAGTAAAGGAGATGATAGAGAAAGAAATGGATAATAATTTAGAGGTAAACGTGACCGATGACATCTTTAGAGTCCAGACTGATGCTAAAGTAGTGCTCCTGTAGTGTACTTCATATTTAGAATAGATCTGTTCATACACATTTAGACTCGAGTCATCTGTGGCTTCTCAGTGTGTGAGAGAGAAAGCGTGAGAGTATGTGCCTTGCTGTGTGTGTCTGATTACATTTATCTTACAGGACACTGACCTCCTGTGGCAAGAATTCCACCAAAATCTGACCGACAATGCCCTCATTTCCATGGATGTGTACTTGGCTCAATTTCCAGACATAAAGGTTTGTTTTTGCTCATCATTGAGTCATCATTGACTCTCACCCTCAAGTTGATCTAAACCTGAAGGAATTTTTCTTCTGCAATACAAATATATTTTTGAAGAATATGGGTAACCAAACAGTTGTTTTACTTCCATAGTGTAGACAAGAAATACAATGGAAGTCAATGGGGCCCATCAACTGTTTGGTTATGCGTATTCTTCAAAATATCTTCTTTTGTGTCCAGCAGAAGAAATAAATTTACACAGGTTTGGAACAACTTGAGGGTGAGTAAATAACGACAGAATTTGACACATTTTGACACATTTTTGGATAAACTGTCCCTTTAATAAGTGGTGCATGTAAGCATCACTTTCACTATTGCTTATACTTAGCTTTAGGGATTTGAACCCCTAACCATGTGTATTAAAATATGGTGTAAAACGTTTGTGCTACAGGAATTATTGAGGCTTGTTAAAGGAGAACTCTGGCGCAAAATGAACCTTTGGTCTAATAAAACATCGGTACCTAGTCAACCGTTCTCTGAGATTTGTTTTCATGATAATCGAATTCGGGGATCGACTTATCAAGACTATTTTCGGTACTTTCCTGTTATCCGGACTCCACCATATACCATTTCGGAACTATAGTCATCCCTGATTGGTCTTAACTCCAGTGACGGGTAGGTTTAGGGGCGGGGTTTGGAGTAGGCCATCGTGGGGTCCGGATAACAGGAAAGTACCCTATTTTCTAAGATGGCTCCTGTCTGTATACACGAAGTGAACTGTCTTTATAAAGTATCTTCTTATTAAACGGTCTGTACACTTACAAAGTTCTCAATGCTTCGTTTTGCATGTATGGACCCTCATTATGTTACTGTGTTATTGCGGGGCTATTTTAAGCCTTGTTAGTGGTATAAACTAGCGATTTCTTTATACTTAGTAATTCCCCCAGTACTAGCATTATACGCTAAACAGTTTTTAGAGATAAAACTCTTTACATTTGATTATCATGAAAACAAATCTCAGAGAACGGTCGACTAGGTACCGATGTTTTATTAGACCAAAGGTTCATTTTGCATTGGAGTTCTCCTTTAAGAATCACTATTGCTAAGTAATCTGACTTATGATTTTTGCCTGGCTAAAATCTCATAGACTTACACTCAAGTAGGGACCTATCCATATATAGACACCAAAATATAATCAAGACTTGCAGGTGCACCACATAGAAACCATCCAGAACACCCTAGAAAACTCTTATCAACACTTTAGCAACCTTATAACAGCAGCCTGGCAACCAATCACCACATTCTTGCTCCTCTCATTTATAGTGTTTACCACAGTGTTAAATGGCCTTTGTTGTGACTCTCTTGCATCCTCTGCAGACTCGCATTGCTAAGCGTGACAGGAAGCTGGTAGACTTTGACAGTGCCAGACATCATTTCGCTTCTATACAGAAAGGCAAGAAAAAGGATGAGGCCAAAATTGCCAAGGTATCAGATGCTCGTTATTGTATGCTAATACTGTACTGTCTGGCTTTTTGTTCACAAACCTTGTTAACTAACCAACTTAAAGGGATAGTTCACTTTGAAATGAATTTTTGAGATGTTTTAGCTTGCCTCAAGTGCATCCAAGATGTAGGTGTCTTTGTTTCCACTGTATTTTCATTTCAATTTTGATATTTTTAGGTCAAACTGTTCATGTCTATCAGTCATATAATGGAGGTCAATGGGGTCCACCTCAAAGAGCATGCACAGAGAAGTCCAAATTAAACATGATTCAATGACTTGTAAATGTAAGTACACATTAATGGCCTAAGACACGAAACGAGTGGTTCGTGTGAGAAAACTAACCGTATTTATATCGTTTTTACCTCTTGTAACCACAACCACGTCCAAGTGATCTGAGGGCGCATGTGCTTTGTGGCTGTGGTTACAAGAGGTAAAAACTATATACATACTGTTCGTTTTCTCACACAAACCGCTCGTTTCGTGTCTTAGGCCATCAATGTGTACTTACATTTACTAGTCATTGAATCATGTTTAATTTGGACTTCTCTGTGCATGTTCTTTGAGGTGGACCCCATAGACCTCCATTATATGACTGATAGACAAGAACGTTTTGACCTAAAAATATCAAAATTGAAAATACCATGGAAACAAAGACAGCAACATCTTGGATGCACATGAGGCAAGCTAAAACATATCAAAAATTAATTTCAAAGTGAACTATCCCTTTAATGCTGCAACTAACAATGAGTGTTATATGCTTGAGTATTTGCACAAGCTTGTGTCTCCCTCTCTCTTTGCTTGCATGTCTAGCCTCTGACTCTGGTGGAGAAGGCGGCTCCCGGCTGGGCTCAGGGAATAATCACAGCACACCAAATCGCTCAAACTAACCTCTCAAGAAACCAGGTGACTCATCTGTCACTCAGGAGCCTGTAAACCCTCCCTTAACCTGCCTAACTCCACCCCCCTGCTCACAGTCCACACCCACTCACAGCATGGCATCTTTATGTTGTATCTGTGTATTTACTGCATATTTTTAGGTATGACTTCAAAATACTATTTTTTTTCAAAGAATACTGTTCAAAAGATTGAGGTTGGTACGATTTTTTTAATGTTTTCAAAAGAAGTCTCTTAATTTCCCCAAAGCAAAATTTTTTTGAACAAAATTATAGTAACAACAGTACTTTTGTGAACTAGTATTAAAGTGCCCCTATTATGCTATTTTAAAACTTACTAATTTTGAGTCGAACTCGAAAAACGGTTCATTCGAAGATTCAGTCTCTCTCAGAATTGCTCTGATTGGTCTGACACCCAGTCTGTTGTGATTGGTCCGACACCCAGTCCATTGTGATTGGTCTACGCCCTTGGTGTCATTTTTCGTGAAAATGCCCAAGTGCATTCTAAATGGATCCGCAGCCCGGAAAACAGCGTCTTCTCAACATATTGAAACACGAACCAAACTCTTCCAGACCTCAGTGATAACTATAATGTCATTGCAACTATTATGAGGGTCAAAGTAGATGTTGTTTGCGGGCAGCCGATGAAGAGCATATGCTGGCATCAAGCAAAGTTGTTGCATTGTTAAGTAGGTAATAGGTATTTAACAGGAAGTGAGACTCGTTTCAGGCAATAACTCCATCCATTGTGCAGTTTGATCTTTGAAACTTTGCAGACATTTTACATTTACAGCTATTTTACACACTGCATGAAAGGTAATATTTGAATAAACATAATAGATCGTTTTCTATTGTAATATATTTTCAGATGTAATTTCAATCAAAGCTGAATTTTTAGCATCATTACTCCAGTCTTCAGTGTCACAAACTGACACATTCTAATGCTGAAACAATTATTATTGTTATCAATGTTGAAAACAGTTGTGCTGCTTAATATTTTAGAAATCGTTTTTTTAGGATTCTTTTATGAATAGAACGTTCAAAAGAACAACTTTTATTTAAAAAAATAAAATAAAAAAAGATTGTTAGCGTAGTTCACTCAAAAAAAAAAAAAAAGAAAAAGAAAAAAAAGAAATTTCTGTCCTAATTCCAGAAATATTTCAGTTAAAGGAATCAGTCCATGAATGCATAATTCTTTGTATACTCATTTTCATAAATTATAGTGTCTTTAGCCTAATAAATGTGTTTGTTTAGGCTGAGGAAGAGTTGGGGAGAGCTCAGAAGGTATTTGAGGAGATTAATTATGATCTCCAGGAGGAACTTCCCACGCTGTGGAACAGGTAATAACCACCTATTCATCTTGCCATCTCTCAGTTTATCTCTCTTATTCCTTCACTTTACCTAAAAATGAACAACCACCATGTCTTTCCAAACCAGTGTGCTGCTGTTGTTTTTTTCTGTGAAACACAAAAAGGATCTTCACCTGGAGTCTCTTGTGCTCACCAAGGCTGCTTTTAAAACATACCATAAAAACAGTAATATCATGAAATATTATTACCAATTGAAATAACTGTTTTCTAGTTGAATATGTTTTAAAATATCATTTATTCCTGTGATGATGACAAAGCTGGATTTTCAGCATCATTACTCCAGTCTTTAGAGTCTGTTATGAAAAAGCATTTCTTATTATTATAAATCTATCTGCTTTATACTTTTGTGGAAACAGCAATACCATTATTGTATTAAAGAAATCTTTTGTAACATTGTAAACGTCCAAACTGGATAAATTTAAAAGCACTCAAGTCCTATTTTCTATGATACATTTATGTTGTTATTTGTCTTTTTTTGAGCTTGAGAGGTCATAAAAAACTCTAATTATCCTTCTTTTGTGTTTCATGGAAAATAAATGTAGCATGATTGGAATAAGTTATTAACAGAATATAGTTATTTGGTGTTGTTTTTGTGTGTTTGATGAAGTTTTTTCTTTTAAATGAACTGATGTTGACTCCTCCCTGTCTCTTTGTCTCTATCTCTCTCTCTGCAGTCGTGTTGGCATCTATGTTAACACATTCCGGAGTGTAGCCGGCCTGGAGGAAAAATTTCACAGGGATATGGGCAAAGTGAGCCAATAATAAGAGACTTATTAACAAGAGATAAAATAGATTATTGTTGTTAGTTACCAGGGTATGTCGCATTCTCTCGCACACAGCTGAACCAGAATCTAAGTGATGTTATGACCAAACTGGATGAGCAGCGTCTAGCCAAGTGAGTGCTTCTATTTTTGCGAAATTTCCTGTCTGTATAGACACTTCTGGTTTCCTGTAGTTTAGCACACAGATGTGCGAGTCCTTGTTTTCCCTGTAAATTAAACCAACCCTTCCCCCAATCAACCCACAGAAAAGGTGTCAAGACAGCAAGCATTGGGAAGAGGTAATAGCTCTCATGTTTTGTGTTTGTATATGCAACATTATTGCATCGAAGGCATACTAACACTTGGTTGCTCTGGAAACTTAATGCAAATGTTTTGAGTGTGCATGGGACCATGTGTAGATGCTGACACAAAAAATAACTGCATGACTGGAATGTCTTTGAAATGCAGTAATTGTGCATGGTAGTGATTTGAACCAATCTGTCTGCTGTATTAACACTGATCTGTGCTGCCCTCTAGTGATGTATTTATGTCATTACATGATCGGCAGGTCAAATGTAGTATTTATTTACCAATGTGTGTGTGTGTTTCTCAAGCAGTGAAGAAGCAGCCAACCACAGTCCCTCAGATTCCGGGTCAGACGCCCCTAAATCACCACAAAAGGTACTGTGTATGTGAGAATACTGATGTTTTTATCTGTCACATTGCCTATGCTATGGAGTCTGTCTTACATAGTAGGCTATGTAACGTTATAAAACTAAAGATGCAGAAAAATAAATCCAGACCCTTTATTTATGTCAGAAAGAGAAAGCCAACACACTGAAATGCTATTTAAACTTATTTTTCTTCTAAGGCAAACATGTCTAACTCCTTCTGGGCTTTCAAGCTAGAGCCACCAAACAAGGGTCAGCAACATGCTAATTCATGCTAACAACATGTTAAAACTTACTAGCAATATGCTAATACATGTTAGAAACATGCTAACAACGTGTTAAATTAGGGTAGTTAGATGTTAAAACATGCCAGAAATGTGGTTATTTGTGTTATAAACATGCTAGCAACATGTTAAAACCAAGTGTGCTACACACATCGTGAAAAGTGAAGCCAAAGCATTTTGATCGCCTCCTGGTGGATGGCTGCTGTAATAGGTCATAAACCCGCAATTCTCCATAATACAATACGTGAGCCTTCAATAATTTTTTCTAAAGATGGTTTTTGTCATTTTATGTAGTTTTGAGTGAGCAGACATATGTTCAAGTGTTCGTTTTTCCAATTAGTTTAGTTATTTGATGCTATAAAAACGGGGTGTATATCATTGTTGACAGCTAAATCATGCTAGCAACATGTTAAAAAATGCTAACAATCTGTTCAATCTTGCTAAAACATGTTAGCAATAAAATATTTATTGCTATAAACTAGGGTTTAGTTAACTATAGGCACTGCCTTACAATAGAAGTCTGTGGTATGTCTTCATGTAGATGATTAGTAAACAAGAATGTGTGATAATAAGCGAACTAAAAGCATGTTACACAGAAAAAGTCTAATGATGGTGCTGATTTGGTGTTTTAACTTAACCGCAGTGTGTTTCCTCATTATCTGCATGTGTGTGTTCGGTGTGGCAGTCCAGAGAGGGACCGCCGGTCTCACGGCCCCCGAGGCCTGCTTCGCCTCAGGAGGTGAAAGAGGAAAACATCATTAACCTGTTTGAGGATGCAGTAGTGCCTGACACTAACATTTCAACCCAGCCACAGGTCAGAGGTCAAATGACTCCCTTCCCTGCTCATCTAAGCACTCACTCCAATCTCTTCCTCTTCACATGTTTTAATGTATGTTTAAAGCACAGTCATCCATTTCTACCCTAAAAGTGACTGTTTCCGGCATATTATTATCTCTTTGCTCATTCTACTAAAGTATCACTAGCTCTCGAGTTTGAGAACTTTACCATAATTTCTTTTTGCAAACCAAGGATTCCACTATTGTCCTAGTAAGGTGGTGTTTTGTACTGTACACAACAGTGTAATGGTCCAGTTGTACAGTATATAGGCTGCTGGATTTAGATCTGTATGCTTTGAAAGCTGCTCTAGTACACCAGGTGGGTGTCAAAGGACAGGAGAGGTTAGGATGTTTAAGGGTAAAGGTCAGGGTTTAGGGGTCAGGAAAACCATGTCACCTATCGTTGTGTTTCAGGCTGTGTTCGAAATCGCATACTCTCTTGAGTAGGTACTTATTTTGGATAAGTACTTTTTGACCGCTAAAAAAAGTATGTTCTATATAGTATGAATATGTGTAATTTGAATGTAATCCGGATGTACTACATTCGCCATGCCGTCATTATCTTTTGACCCGTCAGCGTAAGTTGTGTCCCATCACTGTCACTCATAAATACTCTCCTGTGGCCTGAGGGAGCTGATTTATTATTTACAGTTTATTTCCTTATGAATTTGTTTTACGCAGCATTCTATAGGCCTGTTGGAGAAAATATAAAAAAGTACAAAAACAAAAATGATGTTTAAAAAAACAGTCAGCTTAAGGTAGCTACAAGTATTTTGCGGTTTATGTCAAAATAAATCCAATATCAGACAATACAGTTGCGTGGGGTGGGGGTAAATTAAGCACAATCTGCTGGGATGTTGCAGTACTGTTGCATTGTGGTCTATGAATCTGCGTGAAGTGTACATATTGAGTTGGTCTGTCCAAATAAACTTCTCTCGCCCACTTGACGAAGTTGAAAGCACTTCAAAGAGGAAGTCTATTGGATTTTGCTGTGGAAAGCCATTCTTTTCCACACTATTGTATAAATGCATTAAATTTTAATGTATATGAGTGTGTATTTTTTAATCTTTGATCTTTGATATAGTCTCTTTAGTCCATTTGAGTTTCAGGGAACTGAAATGCCACTTTGGTTCAGCATGTGACGTATTTACTCCATGCATGTGATGCATGTTAACTCGCTTTACTGCTAGTTTACATAAGACCCAGGGGAAAAAACTAGGAAACAGTTATTTTAAATTGTAAAAATACTTCACAATATTATTACTGCTTTCACTGTATTTTTCATCAAATAAATGCAGCCTTGTGAGCATAAAATAAAAAATTTTATCGATCCCAAACTTCTATAGTCGATAGATTCTGTCTGGGCGCAGTATTAGTGTATATTTCGTTTCTTCTTACTTTTGTACATGGTTTTCCAGGGTCCACTATTAGATCACTTCACTTTTGACAAATGCTTTCCTCTCATATTTGCTGCATTAGCTCTGAACACTGTTTATTATAAGCGTAAGTGGAGTTGATGAGAGCGCTCTCCTTACTGTTGACAAGGTAATGAATGTACCTTGCACTCTTATTATGGGCCTCATTTATCTCACTCTTTCATTCTGTGCTTCCTCATGGAAGGGGGCTTCGTGGAATTCATGGGAGGTAAGATGCTTGTAATAGATGAGTTCTCTCTCGACATACTCTTTGTGATTCTTGTGGTGTGATTGAGCATAAAAGAAGTGCTTTTGGATGAAAGTTTTCTACGATCTTTCGATCGAAAAATTACAAATAAAACCAAACACGGACATTTATCAAAAGCTAAACCTTGTTATTTAATAAGAGATTGCCACTCGTGTTTTTACCATGTATTTGGACTTCCCTCTCTTTACTCCATGCATATATCTTGTTTATCTATCTTGTTTATATATCTAATACATTCATACCATGTGTTTGGACTTACAAGGTTTATACTGTAAATGTAAATTTTGAAAATTGTTGACAAAACAAAATAGATAGACAGACATACAGATAGATAGATAGACAGACAGTTAGATTGACTGACAGACAGACAGACAGACAGTTAGATTGACTGACAGATAGAGAGACAGACAGACAGATAGATAAACAGACAGACAGATAGATTGACAGATAGATACAGTAGATGGATGGATGGATGGATGGATGGATGGATAAACAGACAGATAAATTGATAAATAAACAAACAGATAGAGAGACAGACAGATAGACGGGTAGATAGATAGAAAGACAGACAGATTGACAGATAGATAGACAGACAGATAAATTGGTAGATAAACAGATAGATAGAGAGACAGACAGACAGATAGAAAATCAGACAGATAGATAAACAGACAGACAGACAGACAGCTAGATAGATAGACAGACAGACAGACTGACAGATAGATAGATTGACAGATAGATAGATGGATGGATGGATGGATGGATGGATGGATGGATAAACAGACAGATAAATTGATAAATAAACAAACAGATAGAGACACAGACAGATAGACGGGTAGATAGATAGAAAGACAGACAGATTGACAGATAGATAGACAGACAGATAAATTGGTAGATAAACAGATAGATAGAGAGGCAGACAGATAGACAGGTAGATAGATAGACAGACAGATTGACAGGCAGATAGATAGATAGACAGACAGACAGACTTAATTTTTTTTTTTTAAATGTATGAATACAAATTTACTATAATTGCTTTGAATTGGTAATTAAGGGACAAATTGTTATTGATCAACTTAGAATTATTACAAATGAGTCTGTTATTCAAGGAAATAAACGGAAATCAACAATTAACTTGACTTCAGATCATGTTGGGATATAGTTTAGAGTGAACAGTAATTCACATTCCTTTATATCTATCTTTGCCTTTTGCCCTATCGCCTGCCCTTTTCTCCCATGGCATCTATTTTACCCAAAATCCAAACAATCCTGGCTGACCCTTCCTCCCCATCCCAGCCTGGTCAGACTCCTGCTGCAGACCCCTCTCAGGACTCCGATGATAAAGCTGGCGCTCAGACGAATGAAGCCTCTTTATGGGATGATGAGGTCACTCCTGCCGTAGAGCCGTATGAACCCCCCAGCTGGCATGAGCAGGACAGTGTGTCTGCGCAGTCATACAGTGAGACTGCTGCGACTGCAGAGGCTGGAGACTGGGAGGACAGGGGTGTGGAGTGCTGGGGCGAGGAAGGGTCCCAGGTAGGGCAAGAGCAGGACGCAGATATAAACTGGGGCAGTGGTACGGCTGAGGCTTGGGAGGCGGAGTCAAAGCCGCCTCAGTGGGAGGAGCTTCAAACTGTAAGAGCAAGAGTCTTGAGTAATTGTGAAGTATCGTTTAGTGTTAGGTTGGCCCAGAAGTAAATGTTCTGTGGGTGTGTGGCTATTTTCCACCGTGTTCATGTCTAATGTTCGGTTTTGCCAATATGTTTTTTTTTTCTGTGTATATCCTGTTTGTTTTATACTCTGTTGCATCAGTGTGGTTTCGTTTTATTTCATTATCATTTCATTTTTGTATTTAGAATGAAGCTCCAACAGTGACAAATGGCTCGTCAGATGCAGAGCTTCCTCCATCTGTTCTTTATAAGGTAAGTCGAATTGGGAATTGGGAACAACGAAGCCGAGACCAAAGAGAGTTGAGTCCGATTCAAGACAGAGACCATAGAAGGTCGAGTCCAAGCCGAGACTGAGACCAAAGAGTGTCGAGTCCGAGTCGAGACCAAGAGCAAAGAGAGTTGAGTCCGAGTCAAGACCAAAGAGAGTCGAGTCCGAGCCGAGACCGAGACCAAAGAGAGTCGAGGCCGAGACCAAAGAGAGTTGAGTCCGAGTCGAGACCGAGACCATAGAAGGTCGAGTCCGAGTCGAGACCGAGACCATAGAGGGTCGAGTCCGAGTCGAGACCGAGACCAAAGAGGGTCGAGTCCGAGTCGAGACTGAGACCATAGAGGGTCGAGTCCGAGTCGAGACCGAGACCAAAGTGAGTCGAGTACGAGTCGAGACCATAGAGGGTCGAGTCCGAATTGAGACCGAGACCAAAGAGAGTCGAGTCCGAGTCGAGACCGAGACAATAGAGGGTCGAGTCCGAGTCGAGACCGAGACCATAGAGGGTCGAGTCGAGACCGAGACCATAGAGGGTCAAGTCCGAGTCGAGACCGAGACCATAGAGGGTCAAGTCCGAGTCGAGACCGAGACCAAAGTGAGTCGAGTACGAGTCGAGACCATAGAGGGTCGAGTCCGAATTGAGACCGAGACCAAAGAGAGTCGAGTCCGAGTCGAGACCGAGACAATAGAGGGTCGAGTCCGAGTCGAGACCGAGACCATAGAGGGTCGAGTCGAGACCGAGACCATAGAGGGTCAAGTCCGAGTCGAGACCGAGACCAAAGAGAGTCGAGTCCGAGTCGAGACCGAGACCATAGAGGGTCGAGTCCGAGTCGAGACCATAGAGGGTCGAGTCCGAGTCGGGACCGAGACCATAGAGGGTCGAGTCGAGACCGAGACCATAGAGGGTCAAGTCCGAGTCGAGACCGAGACCAAAGAGAGTCGAGTCCGAGTCGAGACCATAGAGGGTCGAGTCCGAGTTGGTACCGAGACCAAAGAGAGTCGAGTCGAGACAGAGACCAAAGAGAGTCGAGTCCGAGTCGAGACTGAGACCATAGAGAGTCGAGACCGAGTCGAGACTGAATTATGGATGATAAGGCAGATAAAATATGGTCTCGAGACCGAGTCCAAGTCTCGAGTACACAACACTGGCTTCAGAAATTAATCTATGCTGATTTGCTCAAGAAACATTTCTTATTATGAAAGTTGAAAACAAGATTCTATAATGAATAGAAAGTTCAAAAGAACAGCGTTTATTTGTATAACATGTAAAAGTCTTTAAATTACACTTTTTTTAAATTCTTGGTAGGTGAAAGCAATGCATGACTACGGAGCAACAGACAGTGATGAACTTGACCTAAAGGCTGGTGATATTGTGCTTGTGCTTCCCTTTGCCAACCCAGATGAACAGGTCAGTCATGATGGCACACATGCTCAAACACACTCGCATACAATGGGACAATGAATCATTGTCTTGTCTTTTTGTTTGTGTGCATAGGATGATGGCTGGTTAGTGGGCGTAAAAGAGACACACTGGCTTGAGCATAAAAACCTTCTAGCAAAAGGAGTTTTCCCTGAAAACTTCACCCAGAAACTGTGAGCGGAACAGCCACCTCACAACCACCTGTTCTTATCCTTCGTTTTCTCACCACTCGACTGTGATGACATTTTTTTTATATAAAAATCAAAAATAAGGGCTTCTCAAGTGAAAAAAAGTGGTGTTCTACAGTATATACATGGTCACTTTTATAGAACTGGAGTGTCATCAGATGATATTTGCAACAGCATGCTTTACACTAAATAGTGATATGGACACAATTAAAAGATGCCAGATATGGATGAAGACCCAGGATGAATTGGTTGATGTTTGTCATTGGCCCATTTTGGGATGGTTGTTTAGTACATGAAGCATCAGTTCAATATTATTTTTTTTTATCAACTGACATCAATCACTATACTTCAGTGAAATCTTTTGCTCTTTTGCCCAAACCCAACATGAAATCAAAATTGAACCCATTTTACTTTCTTAACATACTTTTTAGATCTTACTGTGCACTATTCTTCAGTGCTTGTTCCACATACTGTAAAATAAAAAATGTGTAAAAACGGGTAGAATATTGTTTCCACAAAGCAACTCAGTGTAAATAGAATTAATATACTATTTGTTCTAAAGATAAAATATATTAAAGTCAGCTGATCACAAAACCAATCAGTTTTCAATGAGTTAAATCAGGTCCTGCTGGACAGTATATATATATATATATATATATACGGATTTATTCATAAATACATCAGGTGCGAAGTGCAAACTCTATTTCATGTTGACCTTTAAGTTATCTCTTGACTCCCCTGAACATGTAGAGCCCCTTCATCCTCTCAGAAATAGAATATTTTAAAATGTTGTTCCATAGATGGGGTATCTAGCACTACATGTGGGGGGCTCATCATCTCAATGCTTTTATGATCAATAACTTCATGATATGTTTTTCTTTTGTTCTGTTTTTGAGATATTCAGGTATATGCCACCAAAGATTATGACGATTATGCTATGGGACAAACCACTGTGGTCATACTGTACGAACAACAGTTTGCTCAAAACTATTTTGGTGGGTTACACATTTGTCATGGTTGCATGAACGTTTTATAGACCCTTTTAGATGGGTGCACGTATGCTTTTATTTTGTAGAAAAATAATTTTAATCTTACTGAGATTTAAATTAGAAAATCAGGTCAAACATAGATTTAAATGTTCAGTTGGTATTGATCTGTGCACTGATACTCTGATTACATGTAGGATTAGGGTGGAATTCACTGAATGAATTAAGCTGAATTTCTTCACACTGTACACTATCACGCCACCACTGTGATCCAGGCTGAATCACTTGTTCAAAATGGCAAAAGTGTGCTTGACTGCATCCACATCTGGATCTATGCCTGATTATAATGATCTTCTTTGTCTTTTGATGAATTACAGCTGTAATGCTCGATAGAAATATGTGCACAAACATCTCTTTTTAATAAAATTCAGTTTTCTATAATATTGACACTGCATTGTTTAGAAATGACAATGACTTAGTATTTTAGCTGGATTGAAATGTAAAATGGATTGGTTGAACTGTAAAAGTGCTTCAACTACTTCAGCAAATTGCATCTTTTTTTTTAATACCTAATGTCAAAATTTGATGTCGTATATTCTGGGAATCTAATTTTGCCAAAACAGTGTGGAATCTACCAAAGAGGGTAAATTAGCTGCTAATGTGTGCTGTAAACTGTTATGTATTATAAATTCTGACATTGTCAATCTGTATTGTGTAAATCTTAGTTTATATATTATCTCTCTCAGACCTGTTTACATACCAGAGCTTTAATTTTCTCACCCAAAAAGCTGTTTTGCATATTCAAATATGTATCAGACCTTTGAAATGAACAGACAGCTGCAAGAGGTCTATGCAGGTCTATTTATGGTTCCTCCTAACAAAAGAGTGTAAATGTTTGGTGACTCTCTAAATATCTAAATCATAAAGGTTCTGATATTTAAAACTAGCCTGGAAAAACTGAGATGTATCACATTAACTATATACATTTGATCAGAAAGGGTCAATACTGTCCTGCGGCATTATGGCTGGATGCTCTGTCTTAACATGTAGTACTCTGTGAACCACCCTGTCTGGCAGACTTTAAAAAGCATAATAAAATTAGAATCATGCTGAACTCGATCTTGTTCATCTTGCATCATGCATCCACTTTTTGTCATGGGATCATTTTAACATATGTTAAGGGCCCTAAATCTAAGCATACCTTGTTTTGTCATCTTTTACTCACCTGGATGTGGTTGCAAACCTGTATGAGTTTCTTTCTTCGGCAGAACACAAAAGAAGACATTTTGAAGAACGATTGGAACCAAACAGTTCTTTGGCACCATTGACTTCCATAGTAGAAAAAAATAAAATACTATGGAAGTCAATGGTGCCCCACAACTGTTTGGTTCCAATCGTTCTTCAAAATATCTTCCTTTGTGTTCTGCAGAAGAAAGAAACTCATACAGGTTTGCAAAAAAAAAAGTGGAGTCCTTTAATAATGTGACATAACTCGCATATGAAAACCTGAACTACGTTTACAGCCCTTTGATAAGCCTTGGCTAACCGAAAGTGAGCTTCAAAATATACAACACAGATAGCAGCTTTTATACTAATTTATTATATATTACCAAGGCTGTTCAGACTGCAGGCAAATTAGATTTTTTTTCCTTCTCATAACAAATATTTTCCGGCAGACTGCCTGCACTATTCGTGATCCAATGTGTGCCCAGACATAAGCAACTTATCATGGGTTGCAATTGCATTGGTAATGACTAGGCGTACCCATATGTGACAAGGCGTTTTTTTCCCAAAGGGATGCTGGAACAAAACTGTCTTCTGTACAAAACTGCTCCATCGCACAAGAAAATCTAAGCGACGTCTGGATTAGACAGGTATATTGTGATGTGTTCTGTGCTGTAGTCCCTGTGTTTTTTTCTGAAACGTTAAGACTGTCAGTCCAAATCCGATTGTCTATCCGATTGGAATCTGATAAAAAAAACAAAATATTTGTTCAGATAGCGATCTGTAGTCTACTTGCATGCATGCGCTCTTTCGTTTTCTGGAATATCTGCATTGGTTTGTATGACAATGACGCTGCGTTATACGCCAAAAACAACAACCGCCATGGATATACGATACGTAGGCTATATCTATGACAACAACCGCAACCCAATTTGTTTTCAACTTTTTAACACAATTGTATTGTGTAAATTTTAGTTTATATATATATATATATATATATATATATATATATATATATATATGAAGAGTTCAGATGCAAAAGCCTCTAAATGCCATTTGAAATTTTCTTCTTTAATGATGATTTTTATCAAACTTGTATATTTAAGTTCAGTAATTTCACTTAAATAACAATTAATAGGTAATTATCATTGCCATTTAAGTGAAATCACTGAACTTAAATATACAAGCTTGATAAAAATGATGATTCTCGAAGAAAATTTCAAATGGCATTTAGAGGCTTTTGCATCTGAACTCTTCATACATATGTGTGTGTGTGTGTGTGTGTGTGTGCTTAAAAAACTATAAGCAAATTTATTTCACAAAAGTGCTTGACACAAGTAGCCTACCGTCCCACTTTACTTAACAAAGAACCACTGAAACAAAAAAATTACCTTGGTAATACACCATATCAATTATAAAAAAATCCAAATGATATAGCGCGCGTCGCCGCATTTGCGCGTGCAATTAAAAAGTGCGCGCCACGACGCGAGAGTACGAGGCCAAAGTTCGTTTTTTTCTGAGGTGAGGCTTTATTTCTTACCAAATAATGACAATAACGTTAGAATATTGACACTGAAATAAATCCTGACAACATCTGACCGTAGGTAGATAGTGAATGAATATCTGCAAAAACAACAACAAACCACCATGGATATAATACTACGTATATCTATGACAACAACCGTAACCCAATTTGTTTTTAACTTTTTCACACAATTGTATTGTGTAAATTTTAGTTTATATATATATATATATATATATATAAAATAAGCATATTTATTTCACAAAAGTGCTTGACACACACAAGTACCGTCCCACTTTACTTAAAGAACAACTGAAACTAATAAAAAAAAATCACCATATCAATTAAGTTATATGCAAATGACATAGCGCGCGTCGCCGCATTTGCGCGTGCAATTAAAAAGTGCGCGCCACGACCTACGTGAGTACGAGCAGCTTCACCACACCACAAGGACAGTTCGTTTTTTCTGAGGTGAGGCTTTATTTCGTACCAAATGACGGCAATAACGTTAGAAAATCTGAAATCCTGACAACATATCATCTGACCGTAGATACTGAATGAATCAGGACATCGCGTTTTTCTCAGGCAATCTTGGCTTAACGGAAAATTGCGTCTGACCGAGATGTGTCATAGCTTTCACTCGCGTCCTTTAAAATATAAGTTACGTTAAGTCTCGCATCAGAGAAACAGAATTATGTTTATTGTGGTTTCTTTGACTGCACACTCAGTTATCATAACGTACTGACATAAACTACGCAAAATCCGATCGGAGCAGTCAGACTAAAAAGGATTTTCAGAAATGCAATTTAAATAGGATTTCAAAATACATAACTTTATGAATGTAACGTTAACTTAGTTACTGTACGTCCACAGTTAACTTAATTAGCTCGAAACAGATTTGTAAAATCGCAGTTCATTTTATTATTTGACGTTTTACGCTTGCTAAATCTGATCAAAAGATTTGTACAGACAGGAACATAGCTCGAGATATAGCTAACGTTAATGTGATTTTAATCAGATTTGGGGGAAAACATAGCCATGGCCTAAGCCTAACATTTTGAACAAAGCTCCACCCTCCCCCTTCTGACTTGATTATGTTTCATGTGCATCTATTCATGTGCAATATATTGTCATGGGAACTTTCAGGGAACAGATGAGAATTGTTGTTCTTGGGCTCCATGGCCACCTGGCCGGTTAACAATAGTTTACAGACTTAATTGGTGTACAGAAATGACATATTAAGTTCTTCAGATGACGAGTACCCGGGCCAGTTTGCACAGCTTATGTAGAGACAGAAAAAAATAACAAGAAAGAGATTTTAGAGAAGTAGTTTTGGTTGTTTTCACTCTTGTTGTGAACAGATATTTAGAGTTGGGGGGTTAAACATAAGTATGAAAAATAGAGATTGCTTTTAGTGTGCTGTCATTGTTGGACCAACAAATTTTAAGTTCACGCTCCTATCTTTCTCTTAACTTCTGTTTTACATTGTTCTTCCATCTGAAACCTCATCCAATTCTGTTAAGATGTGATTTACCAATGCAGGGTTAAATATTAATGCCTGTGGGTGACTGGGCGAGTGTTGGCCTGTTAGCGTGTCTTTTGCAGGAAACATGAAGCACTGGGATGTAACTAGGCCTGTTTGTTTAGTGCACTGCATTCATCTATGAATGACATTAACATAATTGGACTTAACCCCTTTGTTGCCAACAACAAACCATGTTACCATGGCATGAGCTTGCTCTTTAAATAGTGATGATATCTTCACAGAGAACATTCACAAGATTTCTCAGCTGAACACTTGACGTCGGCCAGAGGAAAATTCTACAATGGTAGGACATTTTGAAAGATTTATTTGTCTGATGCTTTATTTAATATAGAGAATGATTGTACTTGAATTTAAAATAATGGTCTTAGTCTTCATGAATACTTTTGTTAGCTATTTATTTTATTTGACAGACTTTGTCTTGATAATGTTTTTTTGGTTTTAGCTTTTGTGTTTATAAAAAATAAAAGAAAAAGATGCTCTTTTCCAAAAGAGTTAAATGGCTTTTACTTTTTGCAGTTTTAAACATGCCTGTCATTTATTCCCTGTAGCGTGAGTGCATCTCGGTTCATGTCGGCCAGGCAGGTGTGCAAATGGGCAATGCATGCTGGGAGTTGTATTGCCTAGAGCATGGGATCCAGCCAGATGGTCAGATGCCCAGTGACAAAACCATTGGAGGAGGAGATGATTCCTTTAACACCTTCTTCAGTGAGACTGGAGCTGGAAAACATGTCCCAAGAGCAGTCTTTGTCGACCTGGAGCCCACTGTCATTGGTAATGAAACTGTATAAATTCTATACTGAAGAAGACTGACTTAAATAATACATTGTGCAAATGACCAAATTAATTTATCTTAAATATAATAAAAGAATAAATAGTAAAATACAAATTGATTTTACTGTTACATTTTATTTTACAGTATTTGTAATTACATTGTATTTAACCAAGAACGTGCCGGTAATAAGGTAACTACGGGGGTTAAGGTTTGATTTAGGGATAGGTTCAGGGTTAGTTGTACTACTTACTATAAGTAGCACATTGTATGAACATGCAGAACTGGACTGTAAAATAAAGTGCTACCAATTTTCCAGATGAGGTGCGCACAGGTACCTACAGGCAGTTGTTCCACCCTGAACAACTAATAACAGGCAAAGAAGATGCTGCCAACAATTATGCTCGTGGGCACTACACCATTGGAAAGGAGATCATTGATCTGGTGTTGGACAGGACTCGCAAACTGGTAAGACATTCTTGGGGTCAAAGGTTGGCTTTATATTAAGGGATAGTTCACTTTGAAATTAATTTTTGATATGTTTTAGCCTACCTCAAGGGCATCCAAGATGTAGGTGTCTTTGTTTCCACAGTATTTTCAATTTTGACATTTTTCGATCAAACCGTTGTTGTCTGTCAGTCATATAATGCAGGTATGGGGATCCACGTCAAAAAGCATGCACAGAGAAGTCAAAATTAAACATGATTTAATGACTCGTAAATGTAAGTACACATTGATGGCCTAAGACACGAAACGAGTGGTTTGTGTGAGAAAACGAACTAGTATTTATATCGTTTTTACCTCGTGTAACCACAGCCATGTCCAACTGATCTGAATCAATCGTCCAATGTCTAACTGAACCGAACTGAACCATGTTCAACGTTCTGCCGGAAGTGATCGCTTGCACGTGTTCGTCACTCATTTTTTTTTACACAGAGATTTTGGAAGTTTTACCTTTCACTAAACATATTTAGATATATCGAAATCTTCTTCCATTGAGATTTCCTTTATATCTATATCAGATATAAAGGAATATTTATACATATCAGAAATTTATTTCAGAGTGAACTATCCCTTTAGGGGTTGCAGTTTGGTTTGCTATAGAACAGTAGACAAATCCTGACAGGTGATTCTTGGAATAACTCATTATTTAATCCTGCAGGCTGATCAGTGCACTGGGCTCCAGGGCTTCCTGATCTTCCACAGTTTTGGTGGTGGCACCGGCTCTGGGTTCACCTCCCTCCTAATGGAACGGCTCTCTGTCGATTACGGGAAGAAGTCAAAATTGGAATTTGCCATTTATCCAGCTCCTCAAGTGTCCACAGCAGTGGTGGAGCCCTACAACTCCATCCTTACCACCCACACCACCCTCGAGCACTCTGACTGTGCCTTCATGGTGGACAACGAGGCCATCTACGACATCTGCCGTAGAAACCTCGACATTGAGCGTCCCACCTACACAAACCTCAACAGGCTGATCGGCCAGATCGTTTCCTCCATCACAGCATCCTTGCGTTTCGATGGAGCCCTAAATGTAGATCTGACCGAGTTCCAAACCAACCTGGTGCCCTATCCACGTATCCACTTCCCTCTGGCCACCTACGCCCCAGTGATCTCTGCAGAAAAAGCCTACCATGAGCAGCTGTCTGTTTCAGAAATCACCAATGCTTGCTTCGAGCCAGCCAATCAGATGGTGAAATGCGACCCTCGTCACGGCAAGTACATGGCATGCTGTCTGCTGTACCGTGGAGATGTTGTACCCAAAGATGTCAACTCTGCCATCGCCACCATTAAAACCAAACGTACTATCCAGTTTGTTGACTGGTGTCCCACTGGATTCAAGGTTGGCATCAACTACCAGCCCCCGACGGTGGTTCCTGGAGGAGACCTGGCTAAGGTGCAGCGAGCCGTGTGCATGTTGAGCAACACTACAGCCATTGCTGAAGCCTGGGCTCGTCTGGATCACAAGTTCGATCTGATGTACGCCAAGAGAGCTTTTGTTCACTGGTATGTGGGTGAAGGTATGGAGGAGGGAGAGTTCTCAGAGGCCAGAGAAGACATGGCTGCCCTGGAGAAGGATTATGAAGAGGTGGGCACAGACAGCGTCGGAGAAGAGGGAGAGGAAGAGGAGTATTAAAGAAATCCCTGGTTATCATAATCTTGTCAAAAAACATCACAAATCTTCATAGCTTTCACAAACAGTATTGTCACTAACAAAATATTGTTTTTATGTTTCCTATGCTCATTTGAAAGCTGTATTTGACATGTAGATTTTAAAAAACCTTTTAAAAAATTACTTATATTGATTCAAGCTGTCAGTCTGTTTTTGTTTGTCTGTAATGAGTGCTTGAATATGAACAAATCTTTCACGTGACTTATGCAAGACAACTCCACCAAAGTTATGTTATCTTCTAAAGACTCGTATTGGCATTTTAGTTGTTGTCTATTTCACTGAGTTGGTTGTCATTAAAAACAATAGTTCCTCAGCAAACAGGACAACTAGTTACTATAGTGCCAAAAAGGTTGAGGATTGTTGCAGTACTAACCGCTACAGTGCTAACAGCTAAGGGTGAGTGCTCTAGGGTAAGAATAAAAGACTGGGCGGTTTTGTGCCACCTGAAGCCTGCTTGCGTAATGTCTGTAATTTGACTGCCTGAGGACTAAGGAAATGCAAATGGAGAGCACATTGAAAGGGTGCCATGGAAGCGATCAACAACAGTGTCGCACTATTTGCATGACTTAAGTCATGAGTCATTCTGTTTCAGCAGGCTTGAGATGGCCTTGTACAGACTTAAATGTTAAAATCTTGTTATATCAAATATTAAAACAAGTTATTGAGATGTTTAATAGTGCCTTCTGACGATTTACTTCTGGCATTTTAAGACATTTTAACGCTGGCCTGCCATAACAACTCTCAGATGTCTTTACAAGACTAATGTTTTAAATGTAAATTTTCAGGCAAAGCCATTCAAAGCCATTTTGAGCTGTATATTAAGAACTTAATTTTTAAAAATAAAAAATATGCTTTCTCTTTAACAGTAAATTGAGAGTTGCACTTCTATTGTAAAAGTTTTTTTTTTCAGTCAATGCGAGGATAGTTTGCAAATGGTTCCAGACGTAGAAAGGTAGGCTTTTCCACAAACACAATGGACTAATTTACATCGAAGATAATCTATTTGGATGCAAATCTAGCCCTAAATCTGCTCCCACCCTGTCAAACACAGGACAATTATCAACACTTTCCCCCTAAAACCAGATGACTTTTTATTTTCTCACATTTGGTAGCATGATAGTAACATAATATGAACTTGACCATTTTATTGGTTCTTTCCTCTCATAAACTGACACAAATGCTCTGCCTTCCAGTTAAGAACACCAACAGCCCTACAGGCATTCCAGACATTCTCTGTTAAGTCCTTCTCTAAACATTAGTGCTTATCCACGCCACAAAACCTTGTGTGGGGAAAAGAGTGAGGAAGCATCATTACGGTCAATGTGTTTGATGTGAACATATTATCTTCCGGTTGAAGGGAAAGTTCACCCAAAAATGAAAATTCTTTCATCATTCACTCACCCTCAAGTTGTTCCAAACCTGTATGAATTTCTGTCTTCTGCTGACCACAAAATAAGATACTTTGAAGAATGTTGATAACCAACTCATTGATGGGCCCCATTGATATTCTTCCCATATTTAGATATTCTTCTAAATATCTTCTTTTGTGTTCAACACAAAGGGGTGAGTAAATGATGACAGAATTTTCATTTTTGGGCAAACTATCCCTTTAAGAGCACATCAGCTGAGGCTTCCTGCTGATCTACCAAAGTGCAAAGTTCATGACATCCGTGTTTAGTGCTAGTGCCGCTGCTGACGTGTGTCTGGTGCACCCGAGCTTCGTTTACAGTCTGAGGGAGATGCACGCTGTAAACAAAACAATCTTCGTTATGAGGATGTATATAAGGATTTCGACACAGGAGGAGTTGCATTTATCTTGCCTTGCCCAGCCATATTTATTTGAATTTTGAACCCGCATACACGGACACACCAGACACCTTTCTTTAACTAGAAAGTCTATGCCAGACTCACGTCAACAGCGTCACTGCGGGCTCGAGTCGTGAACGCGGCTGATTCGTGAACCGAGTCACGAGTCACCGCAGTGACTGACTGAACGCGGCTTGACTACAGTCAGAAGAACCCCATGGCCCGTTTAATGTTTAACACCGGGTTTCGGTACCCATCCCTATGCGTGAGTTCATATGGATGAAGGCCTGTTGTGTTCTGTCTCTTGGTTTGTGATAGTGGCAGCTATTGCGAAACTCACCTTCGTCATGCCTGAGTGTGGCTGGCTCAAGATCCCATGAATTTAAAGGAGTAGTTCACTTTTAAAAAACTTTTGGTGATAATTTACTCTTTCTCATGTCATCCAAGATATCCGTGTCATTCTTTCTTGAGTCGAAAAGAAATTAAGGTTTTTGATGAAAACATTCCAGGATTTTTCTCCATATAATGGACTTCATTGGGAACCAAACGGTTTAAGGTCCAAAGGAGAGTTTCAGTGCAGCTTCAAAGGCCTTTAAATAACACCAGAAGATGAATAAGTGTCTTATCAAGCGAAACGATTGGTCATTAAAAAAAATTATAACAAAGTTTAAGTTTTATAAGCTCGTTGCACATTCGTGACTCCTGTTTGACTCTCCTGTTTTTTTTTCCGAATCAATTCGTTAATTTTGTTCATTGAATCAACCAAATGATTCAAAAAAAGATTCTTGCAATTTGATGAACGAGTTTGAACAGGAGAGTCACAAACGTGCATCACAGAACAGAGCAAGGCGAGCATTTGTGCTTATAAAACTTAAACTTTGTTATTTTTTTAAATGAGTGATCGTTTCGCTTGATAAGACCCTTATTCATCGTCTGGTGTCGTTTAAAGCCCTTTGAAGCTGCACTGAAACTCTCATTTGGACCTTGAACCGTTTGGTTCCCAATGAAGTGGCCAACATAATTAAAAACACACCTAGAGAACTCAAATAAATACCAATCATGATATCCTGTTATCATAATAGTTAAATTAATTATTATAACTATGACCACTATAACATTTGCTGCCGATTACATAGCTGATTATTTAGCCTACAGGCTTCTCAAGGACAATCTCACTGAAAGAAAAATTTCAAGTGTGAGATTTCATTCAAAACATAAATCCTACAGACCCCTTTGAGGTTTTGCTTACTAGTCGAGTTCATAGCTGTGGAGATTGTCTTCAACGGGGGGTACAGGGGCAGGCCATCAGCATGATGATCTTCTAGAACATAACATGCAATGTGTCACAGAGCCAACAATCTTACAAACTATTTGCAATAGAACAAAGGGTTTATTACAAGGAAGCAAGCTAGAGCAGAGATGAAATGCAGAAAAGACAAATAGTGAACTATCCTTTTAAAACTCTTGGAGGAAACCAGGGTTCAGAAATGATTCCTCCTTTTAGGTGTCATTCAAAAAGACACCTATTATTTTTGAAAGAAGCATTTAGAAATATAATTTATTATAAGAAAATGATGTAAATGCAAAAAAAAATTACTTCATGAAATGTTTTTAATAATAATCATGTGCTTCAAATTTGATAGACTTGGAATGTAGCACACAAATCATATAGACCAAGGGTTTTCAATCTTCAATCATTCTCATCTTTAAATGCAGCTTTATATTTTTATGTGTAAAGACTCAATTTATACTGTGAAAAAGTGTAATTTATTATTTACCAAATATTTATTTTATATAATGTTTTCCTTGTAATGTATACTGTTTGTTTATTTCTTCAATTATTTGTTAAATGATTTTAAAAAATAAATAAAAAATAATTCAATTTATTTAGTTTAGTCTTATGTTTATAGCCTAATTAAAAAATCTATTATTAAAATTTAACACTGCTTTGCTCCAAACTGTTTTTCTCTAAACTTTTCCACAATATATTGTCTTTTTTATGCTTTACAGTCCCCTATTTATTTACAAGATTTTGTAACAAATATTGTTAAATTAACCACTTTGTTCCACGGTCCGGATAGAATGGCATACAGGTTTGATACAATAGGCTATGAGAGTTAAGTAATAGAATAATAAATAATAATCTTTCGTTGAACTATTTAGTGTGTAATAATTAAAAATAAAGAGCTGGTCAAACATTTTGTAGAAATGCCTAACCTTTTCTTAAAACCTTGATAAGATTTGAAACCTGAATGAAACCTAACACCTGTCTTTGTATGGTGATGTGAAGGGTTTCTTTTTCAATGGCGGATCTTATTAAAATATATATTATAAAAACGACCTCATTGGCCAATATTATCGTGGTGTGAAGCGTCGTTTCTGTGAGGATTTATTATTATTATTTTTACAATTTAAATTAAGGACCCCGTCCCTTACTGGGCACTTTCGGGAACTTTCCATTCACTATTAAGCCTTTTCTGACTGAATGTTTCGGTTCATTTGAAGTTCCGCCAGAGACGGGCTCTGGTTCCGCCCAAAAGTCCCCTCCTCCTCTCCAACTCGTGACCGCGCTAACAGTGAAGCCCGAGCCGTTAAGCCCCACCTTTCTTGCATCCGGTCGCGCGCCTCTATAAAAGCGTCGCCTGGCCCCTTCCGCGCCAATACTGCCTTCATTTTCCGAATCCTTAACGTCGGTCCGAAGGAAATTCTTACAAAATGGTGAGTAACGTTAATATTTTCACGTTTATGTTTAGTAATTACGGCAGGGATGTTTCCTCTGTCTGTACAATGTTATTTTACAGTCTGATGTTCGTGTTTACGAAGACATATTTGAGTTTTGTATTCAATTCGAAGTAATTTCTGACTTAAAACAATCATATATTTGAAAAATCGTTTAAAATGACGTTTAGTGAGGATTAAAGGGTATTTTGATGCATTGGGCGGCTGCGAGACAAAAGCGCGCGCGTGCGCGCGCAACAGCAGGAGCTTTAGGATGTCTGACGCACTTTCGAAAGGCACACAGAAGAGAACAAAGAAAAAGGGTCGGAAAACTAAACCGATATATGTGTAAAATTGATAAACGCCCCGATAAGATGTATGTTACATATCCATAATCATATTGGTCTTATAAATATGGTATGAAGCTTAAGCTTTTGTTATATGCGCCACAGGGTGGAGCACGACACGTCATAATTTCAGATGCACTTATGAAGGTCTTCAGTGATCGCGCCTTTTTTCCCCTTCTCATTCTGTCTCGCCAAAGCTGGGTGGTACACGTTGGGTGGGGGAAGGGACCTGCCCTGCCCTTCCATTTTGGGTCTCTTCCCC